TCGATTCCTAGACGTGACCCAGCGAAACGCCGGGACACGTATAACTTCTTTTTTACCGATATAACTTTCCCTGGTAGTTTGAACCCTTCCCGATCACTGACCCCTACCATTTGTCTCACAGTGTTATTATTATTTTTATTCATTTCTTGTAAATTATCACTGTTTTTACAGAACATGCGCTCGATGTTTTCAACGATACCAATATTTTTATCGATTTTTCAAATTGAATTTTGTTGAGCTTTTGTCGGTTGAGTTATCGATATTTTCTACTAACTTAACACATATCGCCATTAGCATTGCTGTCGTTACCCTTGTTATTTTTGTCGTTTTCTCGTGCTATCGTTATATTTGTAGATAATGGCATCGATAATTTGTCGCTATTTGTATTATTTTATCTATTATGTAGGCATAATTTTCGAGCATCACTTCAATTATTGAGGTCGATATAGTTATCGCATTGTTTGTTAGCAGATATTGCAGTTATCAGAAAAGGTGGTTTTACATGAAAACGCGCAGAAGAGAGAAAAATAAGAAGCAAATAGAACTGACTTTAACTAGTTCCAAATTTCTAAACATTGCACCAGTGTTTTATGGAACAAACCGGGACTTTCATTATAAATTGGAACAAAGCTTCGCGTTGTTGAGTGGACCTTATGCATGAAAAGTGAGCTTAAGCTCCGACTCGATATCCAGCACAATTTCTTGATCTTGAGCTCACTCCATCAATGCAAAAATTTAGTCTGAGCTTAAGCTCACTTTTTATGCATGAGGCCCAGTACCTTAATTAGAACTCGATAAAAGCTGCTCACAAACCATATTTATATCCCTCCCTCCACCGATTATGCGATGACAATACGATTTTCAATGGATATTTCTCACAATAGGTATACTTTTTTTTTTGTCACGTTATCTAGCAAAATTTTTCTTTGTGCTATGATTCTATATATGTGCAATATTATCAAGCTTTCGGTTTTTGTTTCTTTTTTCCTCTTTAATATTCCCAAAAATCATTTGCTTTCATATTATCTGCACCTAATTTTCACTCCTTACTTTGTTTTTGCTTTGCCTTTTCTTTTTGGATTTCCTCATTTTTTCTACTTTTTCCTCACATTGATTGGCGTTCTGTGGTGTTTCTGTTGAAATTCTTTTGTGCTTTCGTATTTTGCGCATTATATTGTCCATGGTTTTCTTTTTTCCAAAAGCTCGCAGAAAATATTTAATTTAGTTCATTTTCGTGGCACATTTTCTTTGATTTGTTTTTTTTTTTTTTGGTTGTTGTTCATTGCTCTTTTTTGGTGGTTGGCGTGGTTTTCGCTTTTATTCGCTGCATTGTCCTGAAAAAGCCAAACAAAAGCAAAAAAATGCTGTCAGTGAATGATTAGATTTTAATCTGCGGACATAAGCGAATACATGTACGATCACATGTGCATTTGTATGTGTAAGTATGTCTATTAAAATAATATTCGTGTACACTTGGGCTGATTAAATAACATTATTTACTTACACATATAAGATACATTAATTAATTACGCTTTGCTCATTAAAATACTGTAGACACAAGTACATATGTATGTATGCTGAGGAAATTTAATTAATAAAAAATTCCAAAAGTAATGCATATATTTTATCAAAAAAAAATTTTCACGAATTTATTGAATAACGGCTCTATTATCTATCACCGACAAATTCTTGTCACAGTTTTTTATTATGGAAAAATATATGAAAAAGTTTAAATTTGTCGGTAAAAAAATGTTTGTCACCGATACAGAATTGGGCTAAAAATTTTAATAAAGTTGAACCAAGCGTGGAAAAAAATTAAAAAAAAATTTATGCAGAACTTGTCTTAATTTTTGCCTGCTTCATTTTTGCTTGGACATCGAAATAGACGCTTTTCTTTATCTAAATTACAGCCAGCAGCTGCCTCAATTTAGTTTTTGAAAAATTAATAATTTTAAACTATGTAGTAGAATGTGTGCACATATTTACCAAACGAATTTTTAATCTACGCAATTAAAAAAGCGGCCGCTGTGGTGTAATGATTATCAGTGTGCGCTATCCCTCCGCGGCGCCTGGGTCCAAGCCCTGGTCAAAGCTACATCGCGAAAAAATATAGAAAAAAAGTTTTTTCTTAACAGCGCTCGCCCCTCGGCAGGCAATGACAAACCTGCGAGGGTATTTCTGCCATGAAAACCAGCTTCTCATAAAAATATAATTACCGTTCGGAGTCGGCGTAAAACTGTAGGTCCCCCCTTTCGGCCAACCACTAACATATGTTTAAGCGCCAATCTATTATTATTAATTAAAAAAATTTAATAATTTTAAAGTATAAACCAAATTTATTCTTAGTTCTTCACGATCAAAACTATGACTCTAGCTCTAGCTTTTGAGCAATAAGGCAAAACATATTAACCTTTTTTTTTTAATTTGTTTTTTTTTTACAAAAAATTTACCGAAAATGTAGTGTAGTTGTAGTGTAAAAAGTCAAGCACAAAACATCTACAAACATTTTATTTTTACAAATTTCGCTTTGCTATTTTCAAAATCTTAAAGTTGTAACTAATTAAGCCTTAACTCATAACGCTAAAAGTTTGTATTTAACAGCAAGTAAAAAAAAATTCAAAAGCGCGCAAATTAGGAAAAAACCATGATAAAAACATAGCAAGGTAGAACCGTTCTCTCAATTTGTCGGCCATGATTTTTTTTTTGAAGTTTGCCAACATTTTAAAATCATATAAAAGTGAAAATAAAAAATTGAAATTGTTCGAAATTGTTGTTGCTTGAGATTGAAAATGAAAATGTGTGTGTGAGTTTGTGAGTAAATTTAAAAATTAAATTGTTTGGAAACGTCAAGAATTTTAAAAGTGACTCTCAGCGGTTCTACCTTACTATATTTTTATCATGGAAAAAACGATTATTATAAAATTAGCCGCAAACATTTTTGTATTTTTACTCTAATTTGCTTACAAAATATAAAAATGTGAAGGAAGCCTTATTTTCGTTGGTTTTCTTATTCGGTTTTTTTTCAGTTTTTTTTTTATTTTCACACACTTAAAAACTGTGCTTTTCTGTTTTAGAGTCAGAAAAACTTTAATTTTCTTCGAAAAAATTTTTTTTTGTATGTTTTAATTGAAAATTTTCGAAAAAAAAAAATATTTTATATAGTATCAATCGCAATAATCAATGCGGAGCTTTTGCGAATGCGAATGTTGGGCAAGTGCACCGATAAAACGTATATATGGCAAACAAACTGACAAATTATAGCCAATATTTTTGCCTGCGGTCGTGGGAGTATTTGTGTAACAAAACTGGTCAAATGTCATATTTATCAACTTTGATAAAAATGTCTCTAAACATATTATTTCTTAAGCTATCTAACCGAGCTATCAATGGGACGTACGTCAACGAGAACATAGTCTTTTTAACAATATTTTTTGTTTTTTCATCTTTAAATACCTGCATTGGTTTCTTTCTTTGTTATGATTTTTTTGGACCAATCTTAAAAAAAACTACTAGACACAAAAGAAGAAAGTGTGCACTGTAATTATTAACCAAATTTTTGTGATTTTCTTTTGACGTTTGAATAATTTCAAATGGGGCTCTTTGGGGAATTTTTAAGGACAGTAATTTTGTTTACTTGTCGGGCAATAATTTTTTCATAGGGATATACATTGGATTCTTGGCTAAAAACTTCTGTGGTAAAACTATCCCTTCTTTGTTATTTAAAGTCAAAGAGGAAGCTCCTTCAATAGGTATTACCAGTATAAATGATCAATGTCTAGCTATAAAGAGAATCGATGCTCAAATAATTAAAAAGCTATAGGTCTGACCTTTAATAAGATAAGAACTACGTAACTATCT